TTTTTTTTTTTTTTCGGAACCAGGGATTAAACTCAGATCCTTGCATTTGCCAGTCAAGCGCTTATCCTACTGAGCCATCTCCCTGGCCCCTCTCTAAATGCTTTTAAGCGTGTATTCTGGTGTTGGACTTCTGAGATTTTGACTATGATTTGTTATGGAAAGGTTTTTTTTTTTTTTTTCTCCCTGACTGTGGTTATTTGGAGTTCTACATGTCTCATTTATCTGTATGTTAAATTTGTTTCCCTTATTGGAAAAGCTTTCCGCTGTTATTATTTTTTTTTCTGCTGTTATTTTAAAAAACAGGTTTTATTATGCCTTTTGTGTTGTTTTTTGAATGGTTAGTAATTCCAGCTGACTTTAATCATTTTTAAGTTATCTGGAAGTTGCTTGGTCCATTTTTCATGTTCTCTTAATTTTAAGGTATCTTTCCTTAATTGCTCACCAACAATAGCCCTGTCTTCTAAGTTCTGATACTCTGTCCTGGCATTGGACATTTCTTCTGCGTATACTTTTGGTAGAATTTTTTATCTCCTGAATTTTTCTATTTACAGTCTTGTATGGACTCTAATTCTTTTCTATGCTTGACCTTCATGTTTTCCATCATATTGTTTAGCCTGTAATTAATGTCTTCTTTAGACTCACTGGTGATTTTTTTTTAATTGGCCTAATATCTTAGTACTTATGTCTTCTATGTGCTTGCCACAGAAGATATTGCCTTATTGAACTGCTTTATGTCCTCCTGTAATACCGTTTTCAATAATTCATGTGTATGGCTTTTGGTTTCATCCTTTTTTATCCTCCATAGATCAGTTTTGGTGGATTTGGGAGTTTTGGGGATTATTTTTTGGTTTGTCTTCTCATGTTTTTATTTTTATTTTTCCTGTGGAGACTTTAGGAGAAAGCTTTTTTTCTTGTTTGAAGACCTCTTTAGTTAATGTCTAGTTTTCAGTGATATCTTCAGAACATAGCTAACTATTTGTAGTTTCATCCACCTCTGTTTACTCAAGATGGGAAGTTACAAAATATTTGGCCTCTTATGTTGTTTTTCCGAATGTTGATAACTCCAAAGCTGTCCAGATATCGGCATCCTATGAGCAACTATTGATAGTAACAGCTATGATACCTTGGCTAGAGTAACACAATCAGCATCAACTATAGAATCAAATAGAAGATGATAAATATAAGGCCCTATTAATAAAATACCAACCTTCAGCTGGGGAAATAGCTCCAGGGTCTAAGCACCTGCCTGGCAAGCTCAAGGACCTGAGTTCAGTCCCTGGTATTGCATGCTGTTCTGGCCCCAAAACTGGGCATGGTGGCACACACATGTAATCACAGTGTGTGGGGGGAGAGGGAGAGGGCCTGAGATAGGAGCATCACTATGAGTCTGAACTGCATAGCGTGACCCTGTACCAAACTAAAAAAAATACCACCCCCCCCAAACCACCTTTAATCATAGAAAAGAGATCTGTATAGTATGACCCCCTAAGACAAACCAAATGTTACCTACTTTTGGCCCACAATAAATATCTGCTAAATGAAACCACTTTGGCTCTACTAACAATAGAACAGTATTCTACTGCAATATCATAAAGTTATCTAGCTATCTAGAGATTCATGAACCTTAGTAGTTATAGTAGGAAAATTAGATGATTTGGGGAACTGAGACATGAAAAGGCAAAATTTGAAAAATTCATTATTGAGTTTTGAAGGGAAACAAATGAGCTGGGGTTCTATTGAGAATTAAAAGAAAATCGGTGATCATAGAGAACAGTAGTAGGAAACAGTAAACGAGGAGGAGGAGGAGGAGGAGGAGGAGCAAAGCAGAGAGCAAAAGCAGGCAAAAAGAGAAAAGCAGAGGAAAATTGAAAGGCGGGCCAGGGAGATGGCTCAGTAGAATAAGCACTTCCCTGGCAAGTGCAAGTTTAATCCCCCGTTTCGCCAAAAAAAAAAAAAAAAAAGAAAAAATCTGAAAGGAAAAAAGAGGCAGAAACCCCCTCAAGCTTCCCAAAATCTGAAGGAAAGGTAGAAAAAATGTAAAATAGCAATCCAAAAAAAGGATTGAGTCAAAGAAAAAAGCTCCTATGTTATTGAATGAGTGTTTTCTTTCCAAGCTCTTCAGTCTTTCAGATCCAGTGAGTCATGATTTTTATGCCCACCTTTAGGGCCTATGTTATTTTGTTTTCAATTTTGTTTCTAATTTTTTCTTACTGTGTGTAGCCCTTGATCTCACTCTCTGGGACTCACTGTTGGTGATCCTCCCGCCTCAAGGCCTCTGCCACACATCTGTCTTTGTTTTGATTTTTGAGACAGTCTCACTATTTAGTTCAGGCTGGCCTTGAACTTTCAGTGATCTTCTTGCCTCAGCCTTCCAAGTGCTGGGATTACAGGCCTGGATCATCATGCCTCGTTAGAGCCCAGGGGATTTTGAGGTGCCCTTGCTGCACCTGAGGCCCTTCTTTTTTCCCCAGAGTCTGGTTATCATTCAAGCTAAGTCCTGTACTTGCCTCTATGGGTAGATGGGGAATGCGGCCCGCCCCCTGGTGTCTGCTGGATGCAGGCACATGAGGGGATCTGGAGTGGGCAGTTCTTAACGTTTGCAGCCCTGTGACTCAGTTTAACACCCATCCCAGACCAAGTGTGCTTTATCAATTGCCTCCTGCATTCTCCCTTGATTATATTGAAGCAAATCCAAGATAGCAGACTACTATAGCCAGAATGGCTGCTGTTGATATCACTGCTGTTGTCTGAGAATTAAGTCATTCTTCTACACTAAGAAAGCTCGAGGAACAAACAAATGTGTCAAATTTTGCAAGCTTATAAAGTTATTTGTGTAATAATGTTTTTCATAAGTGAGAAGGATAATACTTCCCTTTGGACTTCAAAAGCTACTTAATTTGTCATATTTCATACAAGAAAGACCTGACTAGAGTAGAAGGTCGAATTTAAACCCTCTGATGGGACAGGTTAAATTGTGTCATCATAGCCTTTCTCCTAGTGTAGTCACCTCTTCAGTCTTCCTCTCTTCTTTCATTAAAGGTGTTGAAAAAATTCTTGAGAATAAACTGGTTTTCTTGTTCACATGAAAGCAGAAAAAAGCATTTGGGTGAATGACAATCTGCTGTTGATAAAATAGTCTACTGAATTTAAGGTGGACTCTAGCATTTCTTAGCTGTTGTAATTACTTCTCTGTCATCTGCTAGTTACGGATTCGAGACCTCGAAGGAGCTTTGCAGGTAGAAAAGGCTAGCCAAGCAGAAGCTGTTGCTGACTTGGAAATGATCAAGAATGAATTCAAGGAAGTTGAAAGTGCATATGAACGAGAAAAGCTTAACGCACAAGACAGTTTTGCCAAACTAAATTTGTAAGTACTTCACTGAAATCTTTAAATTATTATGACATTTCTGAAGCTATTTAAGTGTGCATATGTAATACTTTAGATATAGTGCTCATCAATGTTAGTGGTAGATTAGGGGTAGAGAATTTCTTTCTTTCTTTTTTTTTTTTTTTATCCTGCCTCAGGTTTATTTGTACAAAGAGCACAGGAGAACACCAGCCCCCCCACAGATGGCACCCCAGGGGTCACACCAGTCCTTCTGTTTTTACATCAGCAGATAAGAGGCTTTTCCTATGGAGCCTTCATGGGGGCCTGGGCAGAAGCTGGAGCCTGCGCCTTGGTTCTAGCCGAAGCTGGAGCCTGGGCCTCACCTGGAGCCTGGGCCTTTGGCCTGTAAGGCCTGTGACTCTTGGCAATGCAGGCATGGATATGCTTCCCAAACTTGGGGTGGGCAATATCGGCAAGTCGAGCGAGCCTGTGGTTTACTCCTTTTGGGGTGATCTTGGGCTTGACCTCCTTGGGCTTGACATGGGCCTTGATAGCCTCATTGCTTGTACTCATGGCCTTGACATTGTTTGCTTGCATCTTCTTGAAGCCTTTCGTGTTGTGCTTCTTGGCAAAATGCATGTTCCTAAGGAACTTGGGATCTACCCCCTTCAGAGATTCATATGTTTGTGACTTTGTGACTGAGGTTTCTTGATACCATTTCTATGCCATTTTTGGGACCAGTTGTGCATGGTGTGGTTCTTGGACTTGGCTATAATTGAACTGTAAACTGTGGCTGCCAAGCACCTGGAACCGGAAGAAGAAGGAAAAAAACCCCAAGAATTTCTTAAGACATGACTATACTTCCCATTACAGGGAAATTTGATGATGATTTTTGAGTTTTGACATTCCAGGAGACCCAGCGATGCAGTTACTAGAAAGTAAATGCATGACTAAATTTTGCATCTTGTTTATTCATTTATTTATGAGGCAAGGTCTTGCTGTATTGCTCAGGCTGGTCTTTTTTTTTTTTTTGTATTTTAGAGAAGGGTCTACAGGGTGTTCAGGGTCTCATTACTAGTTGGGACTCATAGTGATCCGCCTGTTTACAGTCTTCTAAGAGCTGGGATTACAGGCCCACACCACCATGTCCACTCTCAATTGCTGTCTCAGTGTGCCTCGGGGGTGGTGCTGGCATGGCAGGCCTGGGGATTGGCCCCTGGGCCTGCTTGCAGGCTCTTTAATCTGCTGAGCTATTTGGCTGGCCCTCAGGCTGGTCTTGAACTCTTGGGTTCAAGTGATCCTTCCCCCTCAGTCTCCTACATAGCTGGACCTGGTCTAGAGGCGGGTGCTGCTGCCCCTGGCTGCATTATATTTATTAGTGCAATGCAGAATCTTTAAAAACCTTGATTTCTAGGCCACATATAGAAATTATGTGTGAGATTTTCTTGAACTGCAGAAATAATAGTAGTAGCAATAATACTGCTGTTGGCTGACATGCAGTGTAACTTACTACACTTACAGCATTTCATGTAGTGTAACACCTGATGTGCCTTTTTTTGTTTTTTTAAGGTGCAGCTATGAAAAGTTGAGGTTTAATGACAGTAAGGACACTTAGCTCTTAAGTTCCAGAGTCAGATTCTTTGCAACTCTTCCTGACTTTAACCTTTGTCAGTTCAGAAGTCTTTCATCTTGAAATCTCTGTGAAATGCTTTAAGAAGTTTATGGTTCTTTAACCTGTTTCAAAAAATAAATCAGAGGCAGCTATTTAAAGCCATCCCTTCAGGTTAATTTTTATACTGCCATTGCATATGAAGTGATAATAGGTTGGTCCTTTATTAGGGTTATTATTTTAACCTAATTTGGTATTTGTGACAAGCAGATAGTTGTTTTCTGTTTATAGTGATAATATAAAGAATATTTTAATACTTTAAGAAGTGAGTTAAAGTATTACTTACCTAGAATAGTAATTAAGGCTAAAGCAGAAAGCAGAAAGGTGGTGCTTAAAATTGAACTTTGAAAACATTTTTAAATACTGTTTACAATTTGTTTTCTGCTTTGGTTTGGTGTCAGGAATTGAATGCAGGACCTCATGCATGCTGAGTGTGAGCTGCACCATGGAAGTACTTGTCCCGCTGAAGTAGAGCATGCGTTGCTGGTATCCACTAGCAGTCTTAAGTGATGTTTTGTGTACTTTTGTCTACGACTTAGTTTCTTTTCTCACCTTTGAAGCCCACTCTGAGCATTCAGAGGAGCAGGGCTGCCCTTTACCTGTCCTGCTCCTGCCCTGCTTATGCCCTGCTTACACCCTCTTGGGTGGGGCCGTTGGCAGAAGCACAGGGGCCGCTTTCTTTGGGTTGTGCATCTGATTGCTAGCAGCGAGGCTTGGTCCCTCATTTTACTGGGCTTGGCTTAGTGGATCAGTATAAAATGACAAGTGTGCTTACTTTTGTATTTGTTGAGTGATACCAGTTTTTAATTTAAAATGTTTTTATCAAATGAACACTACGTAGTTTAAAGAGTTAAGCATTGCAGGTTCCACTCTTGAGTTCAGTTCCTTCTGTCTGTGCTGCATGCTTCTCCCACACAGGACTCTCTTAGTCTTTCCCTCTTTCTGTTCTTTCCATAGAGCTTTATTTGGGGCTCCAGAGTACTTTTTATATTTTGTTGTAATCTCTGTGTGTGTTGTCTGTCTTATGTGGAAAGGAACTTCGTTTATGCATTGTGAAGAGTAGAGCCACGTTAAAGCAGCTAAATAAAGATGGGATGTACCAACAGGAGAAAGAATAGTTGAAAACTGCCTCATTAATTGAATTAGTTTGTGGTGTTAGCCAGTGCCTAACCATTATGATGTGTTTATGTGAACCAGTCACGATTTTTTTTTTTTTTTAACAGAACATTTTATTTAACTTCATTTACCTCAATATATTGCCACTTTGGCATGTGGGTGATGTGACATTTGAGATATTTTCCATCAGTGTTTTTCTTCTGAAGTGATGGGAAATGTGTGTTTTACTTTCTACTCTTTCCTTTTGGAGCTGGACACATTTTGGGTGCCCAGTGGCCATGTGTGGTTAATGCCATTGTCCCGGATGTTCACACTTAGAGGTTGAGGAGAAGACAGGACCAGGATAGATGTGTAGGGTGAGGGCTCAGTTGGCCTGGTACTAAGATTTGACTGTAATCTTCACTCTGGACATAACTGCAAATGTTGTCTGCTGTCCTCAAAACACCCATTGCCTTTTTTTGTGAGCTTGTTCTATAGTCACAGTCACCAACTGTGGGTCCCTGCTGCTGGAACATTTCCAGGTGAAGCCTGCTTTTTTTTTTTTTTTTTAAATTTATTTTATTTTGAAGAGTAAAACCAGAAGCAAAACAAATAGAAAAAAAGACAGGAAGAGGGTAACATACAACAATGCACACATTACAGATTTTCAAAACAGGAATAGCTAATTAACAATTTTTTTTTTTTTTTTTTTGCGGAACCAGGGATTGAATTCAGGCCCTTGTGTTTGCCAGGGAAGCGCTTATTCCACTGAGCCATCTCCTTGGCCAACAGTGGTTGTTATATTGAAGCCCATTTTATTTTGAGATGTACATATTGATAACATGCATCATAGAGAATTTCTCCCTGTACATGATCTGTCTTGCTGCCACTTTTTTTCCCATTCCCCTTCAACCCTTCTTCTTCTCCTTATTTACAGATGTTTGCTTCCACTTTTTCCTTCTAGTCTCTTTATTTTCCTTTTCCCTTCTTTCCTAGCCCCATTCCCTCCCTTGTTCCTCTCCTCCACACAGATTTAAAGTCCCACCAAGAGTGGAGAAGGCTTTTAATCTTATAGCCCCACTAGCATTTGTTATTGGTTAGTTTCTTTTTTTTTTATTTGTATTTGTTT